TTTCTTTATCACTTTCAGCTTTTTTGAAAAACGTATATTAACACAGCTATTTTTGCCTTTTCACAATGACTTTCAATGTATTTGGGAAAAAATAAAATAAAATAAATAAATTCCCATTTTAAATTCATACTGTTGATATTTTTTATTTTTTTATTTTTTTTTAATAATCTGCAACTTTTTCTATTTTTCCTTTTCATAATTATTTTCAAATGTTTTTGAAAAAAAATATTAAATTAAATAAATAAATAAATACAATGTAACTTTTTAAAGTTATATCTCACTTTTTTCTTTTTTCACTTTTTCTACATTATCTCTAACTTGCTATTTTTTTGCTTTTCTTTATCACTTTCAGCTTTTTTGAAAAACGTATATTAACACAGCTATTTTTGCCTTTTCACAATGACTTTCAATGTATTTGGGAAAAAATAAAATAAAATAAATAAATTCCCATTTTAAATTCATACTGTTGATATTTTTGATTTTTTGATTTTTTTTTAATAATCTGCAACTTTTTATATTTTTCCTTTTCATAATTATTTTCAAATGTTTTTGAAAAAATATATTAAATAATAATAATAATACATCGGAAGCGATTTTTATGGAAGACAAATAGAGTTAAACTGTTTATTCAATACAGAACAGAATAAAATTCATTTTTTAAAATAAAAAATACATTTCAGGAATTAGAGTAAAATGTCAAGGTCTCAAATTGTGCCAGAAATTTCAATATGAACTCAAATATACATTTATACATGCATTTGTTTTCAATGTAATTTAAGAATTTCATCCTATTTTAAGAGAAACATCTAGAAATAGAGCTCATTTATGTGTTGTATGCATTTTGCATTCATTTTGCATTACACTGAAGCTGGTAGTTACAATGATAGTGGGTGTTAGATGTGGCCACGACTCTACACTGAAATAGATGATAGAAAGAGAGAATGAAAGAGAAAGAGAGAGGGAGCGTTGCTGTGGGTTACCACTCCATAGAGGAGGCTCTCTTCAGAGCTGCTTTCTGCAGCAGACGGGAAAATGTGTTTTTCTGTGCGTGTCTATGACAGTAGGAGTTATAGTGAGGACTGTGTGTGTCTGTGTGTTTTTGCAGAGATAACGACCAGGTTCTGGAGGTTGAAGCCCACGAGGCCTGTCATTCAGCACAGATTGTGTCACACAACACAGCGTGGTGCCTTAAGGTGAATGTGTGTGTGCACATTTGTATTCATGAGCGTATTTCAAATTTTGGCTAAGTGAGATGCAGCATCAATTAGATAGAAGTTAGAAAGTTATATGTTGTTCTTGTCACACTGTCAATAAAAACATTCTCTACATAATATGTGTAACATTATATATATATATATATATATATTACATTTTTAATGTAAAAAATTGCGTCAATAAATGAAGACATAAAAAAGGAGACAACTTTACCTAATATTCGCACCCTTATTTTAAAATCTCATTCACCTTTCCATTTCAAAACAGTCCAGATCCCAGTCTGTCAGCGGGAGTGTGGGAGGGGCTCCTGCTGACATGTTTCACAGATGTTTACTCCTGTAGTGGGATTGCCAAACCAGTGCAAAGGCTTTATAACCTAAAAAAAGGCCCTGTGCTCCACCCTATAGGCCCCTCTGTGGCTTTATGAGTCTCCCAACAGCTTGGAGTAAGCAGTGCAGCAAATGGCCAACAGTGAGGGGAGACACAGTTGTTGAAAAATGACTGCCAGTAAAAAATCCTGACAGTAATATTTCAAGAGCAGGTGTCCGTTGCCCTCGCTGGGTAATTCCCACTTTATTAAATGCATTTTATGGCACTGTGGTAAGAAAGGAAGATTGTAATGTGTAATGCTTAATGTTTATCTGTTAAGACCTAAATGTAAAGGGGTGCAGAAAAGAGAATGTATGGAGTTTATAAGTGGCGGGACAGAAAGAGCAACTGAAGGATACAAGGAAAACAAGGGGACGGCTGAGATTTAAAGATCATGGGAGGAGGAAACAGGCCAGACGATGAGATGACTCTGCCAGACTGTTTACTTTGCAGCTAATAATCATCATCACACACACACACATCCCTGCACTATGGTGGTACCACTCAGTAAGAAAGAGCTTTATTATACATGATTACCATATTTATATTTGCAGCACAGCTTTCGCTACAATTAATAAGTTTAATAATAAGATGAAGCCTTATCTTAAAGTTTAAAATCACTTTTAAAAGCTAAAAATGTTGTACAATACAATCAAAAAGTTCCCTCTCAACAGTAAAGAATTAATACCTAAAGGCTGACAGAGTTAAAAACAAACCCGGTCATGCTGCTTTGAGTTTGTGCCTGTGGTCTGTCCTTTGACAAGCTCCTTCCTTGTGTGTGTATGGGGTCAGATCAGGCTTCAAACAGCTGACTGGACCCGTGTGTGATTGTTTGTGTGTGGGTACGCACATGTAAGCGTCTGGAACTGAGAGAGAGAGAGAGAGAGAGAGAGAGAGAGAGAGAGAGAGAGAGAGAGAGAGAGAGAGAGAGAGAGAGAGAGAGAGAGAGAGAGAGAGAGAGAGAGAGAGAGAGAGAGAGAGAGAGAGAGAGAGAGAGAGCGAGAGCGAGAGAGAGAGAGAGAGAGGAAAGCAGAAAGCGCTTCCAAGGAAGTCTAACAAACAAAACCTCAGACAGAAGTGTGTTACTAATAACACGTATTTAGAGAAAACTCTAGACTGTACTATAAATCTGGTAATGTGGTTAAAAAAATTATTTAAAAACAAGACGTTGCTATTTAATCAAACGGTTCAGCTTGCTTTACAAAGAAACAGGCTGTCTCATAAAACTCCTCCCATCTCTTGCTGGACTGTTTGTGTTGGAGCCTGCGGGACTGGCATGAAAATCTTATTCCCTAAAGTGGATGACTAGTCACGAGTGCCAATTCTGTCGAAGCTCCCTTAAGATCTAAAAAAGCGCGTGTGTGATGTTTAGTGCCATGATGTCATGGAAAGACCTGCAATTCAAACAGACCTTTAGCTGTGATGATAAGAGTTTAAATGATAACTCAGTAAATGTGACGAGTCTTGACCTTATAAGTTTATATTGGTTTGTACTGACACATGGGAAAGTTTACATGAAAGCCTATTTCCTTGTCAGGGCAAAAATAAATAAATAATAAAAAAAGGTAATTGCATCTTTCATCCACAATTGTGACTTCATTTCCTCTAATTGCAAATAATAAAAATGCTAATATTTTATATGTGTCTGCAATGGGAAATTGAAAACATAAAGACAACTGTCAGATCAGCAGTCTTCCCCATGATTGTGTAGCCTAGTGAACCAAACTGAGAGACCATTTTGAAGGCTCGGGAAACCTTTGCAGGTGTTTTGAGTTGATTAGCTGATTGGCATGTCACCATATTCTAATTTGTTGAGATAGTGAATTGGTGGGTTTTTGTTAAATGTGAGCCAAAATCATCACAATTAAAAGAACCAAAGACTTAAACTACTTCAGTCTGTGTGCATTGCATTTATTTAATACACGAGTTTCACAATTTGAGTTGAATTACTGAAATAAATGAACTTTTCCACGACATTCTAATTTATTGAGATGCACCTGTACATTATTAAGCAGCGCAACGGTTTTCAACTTTGATAATCAAAAATGTTTCTTGAGCAGCAAATCAGTATATTAGAATGATTTTTGAAGGGTCATGTGACGCTGAAGACTGAAGTAATGGCTACTGAAAATTCAGCTTTTTATATACTTTTTTTATACAATTATTTTAAATTGTAATAATAATAATATTACTGTTATAACTATATTTTTGTTCAAATAAATTACTTTTGAATGGTAATGTAGTTAAAAACAAATTCAAATCTTTTAGGAATTCTAAGTAAATTTTTTTACTTTGAAACAGACTTGTAAAGATTTGACAGTCCATGAACATGACTAACACTAATGTGAATAAACGAGGACTTTCTTTCACAAGCACTGCGATACTGACTCAAAAACAATGTCATCTTCAGACCTGTCATCACTCGACCATAAAATCCTGCTTCCTCATGTGTCATTGTAGTGAACTGGGTCAAAGACAGTATTCTGATTGCCATCCATCCTTAAAACAACTACAAAAGGGGCTTTATTCATTCTGTCATATGGGTTTCACAATAATATTGCATCTCACTCTCCCAAGATCATGTTAACTAATGTTGCACAGTACTTTCTGATGGTTCAGTGAGTGTTTCTTAAACCTGCCCATAGATCACGTCAATTAATTGAAACCTGAAGGGATAGTTCACCCAAAAAATTTTGTGGAACATAAAAGACAATATTTTGAGAAATGTCTCTGCCTTTTTGTCCATATAATGGAAGTCAGTGTTAACCAAAACTGTTACTAACATTCTTCAAAATATCTTTTGTGTTCTACAGTAGAAAGGCTGTCTCTCAAACACAAAAAGGTATGAACCTGCTGGAACCTTTCTGAATTTAATAAAATAAATGATTATGGTTTTGATAAGATGTCAAACCTGCAGACTCTGTGGCACTTTCTGAGAAATTTTAGCTGACTACTAAGTGAGTCAGTGTTTGCCAGGCTCCTATGATTCATGACAAGCTGGAATCTGATTCTCAGCACAAACCAAGCTGTGGAATTTCAGCTGGGAGCTTAATGATATAGTATAGTATAGAGCGAGTATTATTAGCTTGAGAACTAATAATAATGGTAGAAACTGAAATTTTACAGACAACAAGTGGAGGAGGGAGACAGTGTTTTTGCTTAATTATCCAGTTGCCTGTTCAGCAGGATTGTCTCACTCTGCCCTCTGTTGGACTGGAATGGGACTATTGTCCAGTTTCACTACACTGCCCCCTCTCTCCTGAACTAAAACATGCAATATGCCATATGCAACTGGTAACACTTCACTTCTGATGACAGATTAAAATAACAACCAACCAGAAATGATACTGGTCATCAACGTAGGTTTGCCTTTTGACACAGTAAGCACAGGAGTGGACAGGAAGCTGGGCCCCTACCTTGCTTTTAGCAGTCATCTTGCGCAGGAAGCTCAGTGTTCGCTCCAGGCGATTTCCTGAGACATCCTCTTTGTTTTCATGCCCCTCAGCCTTTATTTGCCCTCTATCTATGTCCCAGCCCGGAGCAGCAAACTCGCTGTCTATACTGTATCAGAAATTAAAAGTATGGATATTTACAATTGAATATGTTAGGATATTTATGATTAAAACAAGCCAGGACTGAGACACACCTGTGAGATGATCCTCCAGTCTGGTGGTACGAAACACTCTCTAGATCACACCGAACAAGACAAGAAAAATGTTCTCATTGATTTGAGGAAATAGAACTTGGATTGCACATGACGTAATGCTGTCTTCTTAATATCGGTTTCAGTTTCAGAGTCATAAATAAAGAGTCAGAAACATAGTGGACATAAAATATTTGAACACTTATTTTTAGGGGGAAAACTGTATAATAAAAATAACATAAAAAAGTGAGGGAAAGAACCACATAGGAAATATAAATGAATGGTTTCATTTGAATTAATTTGTGAACAAGCTGGAAACCCCAAACACACTCAACTGACCATGGCAGTAGGAGCGTGGGCGAGGGGCGGAGCTTCTAGGCATCAGCTGCATCATACACAGGCTGGGGGCGGAGACACTGCAGCCATGCATCTGATTGGACTGCTCCTGAGGGAGAAATTTACAAAGCAGTTATCTAATTAAAACTAAAATATTTCATATGCACAACTGTTCAAAAGTTTGGGGTCAGTATGTTTTTGAAAGAAGTACAGAAATACAGTTAAAAACAGCTGTATGATTACAATATAGCTTTCCTATTTTAATATATTTTTATTATTATTAACAATAATTAGTCATTTATTTCTGTGATGGCTGTGAAGCTGAATTTTCATCAGCCATTACACTCCAGTCTTCAGTGTCACATGATCCTTCAGAAATCAAGAACCATTTCTTCTTATTATCAATGTTGAAAACAGTTGTTTCTGCATAATATTTTTGTATAATAGTTTTAATAAAATATTTTTACTTGATAGTTTTAAAATGATGATACTTTTTTTCTGGCCGTGAAAACCATTCAAATGTATTTGAAATTATTTGAAAAGACTGTTACATTGGTACAAAAAATTGCCACTTTTGATCAATTTAATGCACCATTGTAGAATTTAAGAATACAATTTTGTCTACATTTTTTGGAATCCACGGTAATTGAACGTTCAATATTGTGCGGTTTGCATAGGTAGAGTTATTTTGCTGAACATAAAGTGCATTTCACATTTCCATTGAATTAGGTACAAAAATAGAAGCTGAAACTCTTCATTTTGTTGTTTTTCCACTTTTCCAATCCATGATCAGTGAATTAACTTGCTGCTCCATCTTGATCTCAGGAGGCTTTAAAGGTGGCTACTAACTATAAGTATACAGTACATAGTAATGCAGCTCACAGAAGCTCTGTGTGCGTGTTCTAACCTCCAGCGCTGATCGATGATGTTCCTGATGCTCTGCTCCAACTTCCTCCTCAGTAAGTGACGTCAGGGAAGCTTGAGTGACAGACCTGCGGGCTTCTCGGGCTCTTTTTGACTTCCATGCACTGTTTAGCACTAAGGACATCTCATCCGGGTTCAGATCTTCAAGACTCACACTAAGAAGAGAGAGAATGAACATTAAATTCACATACATTGTTACTGCATAACCTGTTGTCTGATGACTATCATTACAAAGTACCAGAAATTATAAGTTCCACAGGACATCTGCAACAACAAACAAACCTACACATATGTAAACAAACTCATAACATTATAGATTTAAAAACTTCAATCTTACTCTTTCCTCTTCCTTTGGATGACTTTAAGTCGGCTTCTTTAAAGCTAACCTGAAAATGAGCTGCAGTGTAATGTTAGCTCCTTACTGGAGAGACCTATGTATGTCCGTGTGTTCTTATCTATCTGTGTGTGTCTCTGTCTCCTCACTGAGTACATTGGCACTGGCTGGTGGTGATCTCACAATAATAGTCCACAGAGTGACACAGTAGAGGCCCTATATCAGGACAGCCATGTGTGAGAGAGAAAGAGTTATAAGGCACAACATTGAATAAGAATATATATATATATATATATATATATATGTGTGCTGTCAAATTATTAATCGCATCCAAAATAAAAGTTTTTGTTTACATATACATATATATATACATATATAGTTTTAAATTAAAATGGTTCAAATTTCAATAGTTAATTTATATGTAGTGCATTTCTGATGCAACTAGTGCATCCCAAAAACTACTGCAACAAAAAATACATGACAAAATAAAACTAGAATAAAATGGTAAAAAAAAAAAAAAAAACTCACCCAAAAAATTAAACATGGAAATATATAATCATTTAAATACAATAAGGGTAAGAAAAATTATAATATATAACAAAATATGTTGTAAAAATCCTATTCTGCAGGGTTAACTATTAATTTCAGTGAGTACATAATTTAGGTTGTGTGGGTTTGCTGACAAAAACAATTATATTACACAATTTTAAAGTTTGGGGTCAACAAGATTTTGTTTTTGAAGAAATTAATACTTTAACTCAGCAAGAATGCATTGAACTGTTAAAAAAAGTAAATATACTTATAATTTTACAAAAGATTTGGATTTCAAATAAATGCTTTTCTTTCTATTCGTTAAAAATCCAAAAAAATGCATTTTGTTTTCCACAAAAATATCAAGCAGCACAACTGTTTTCAACATTGATAATAATGTGAAATGTTACTTGAGCACCAAATCAGTATATTAGAATTATTTCTGAAGGATCATGCGACACTGAAGACTGCTGCAAATTCAGCTCTGCCATCACAGAAAAAAAATAACTTTAAAATATATTAAAATAGAAAGTTAATGTTAAATAATGAAATATAGCACATAATACATGTCAGTATAGATAAAGCCAAATTAGTCACAATTTCCAGTTTTTTTTTTAAATTAAGGTAGAGCACACTTGGACCATTCTAAAGTGTCACTGAGGTAAATGTGTGATTTGGATTTCAAATAAATGCTTTTCTTTCTATTCGTTAAAAATCCAAAAAAATGCATTTTGTTTTCCACAAAAATATCAAGCAGCACAACTGTTTTCAACATTGATAATAATGTGAAATGTTACTTGAGCACCAAATCAGTATATTAGAATTATTTCTGAAGGATCATGCGACACTGAAGACTGCTGCAAATTCAGCTCTGCCATCACAGAAAAAAAATAACTTTAAAATATATTAAAATAGAAAGTTAATGTTAAATAATGAAATATAGCACATAATACATGTCAGTATAGATAAAGCCAAATTAGTCACAATTTCCAGTTTTTTTTTTTTAATTAAGGTAGAGCACACTTGGACCATTCTAAAGTGTCACTGAGGTAAATGTGGTTTTTTACCTGCGTGTGTCATTGGGTGGATATCCCTGTGCCACAGCTCCAGGTTCCCAGCTGTGTCTCCTCCAGGGGTCGAGCTGAGTCAGGTAACGAGTGGCAGGGGAGCGTAAGGTCACGACCGGTGGAGAGCAGTGAGGAGGTGAGAATGAGGAACAAACAGGACGAGGAGACGGAGGAGGAGTGCTCGACATCTGGGTGTAATGAGTGAGAGAACAAACAAATAATGCTAAATTATTGGCACATAATTGGCACACATATGGTTCTTTACTCAGACAGACATACATATGCACAAATTCATACCGTGTCCATAAGGTCAGGCAGCTCCTCAGGGCCCATACTCAGATTATAGCTTCACTGCTCCCCCTACAGATCAAAATATGACATTACTATTTCTGAAAAATGTGCTTGGCTAAATGGTTCAAAAAATAAAATCATAATAGAAGTTATATCCATTACATCTGTTACACATCCAAACCACCACTAAAGCATGGCTAAAGTCAAAATTATGTGTATAGCACTTTTCACAATACAAATAGTTTCAAAGCAGCTTTACACAAACTCATGATGTTAATCTTTATAATATCATAAGGGTCGTTCCAAGCCTGTTAAGTTTCTTTCTTCTGCTGAGTGTCTAAACAAAAGAAGATATTTTGAACAATGTGGGTAACCAAAAAGATGAAGGTAGCCATTGAAAAAAATACTATGTAAGTCATCGGCTACTGTCAACTTTTTGGTTGCTCACATTGTTCAAAATATCTTCTTTTGTGTTCAACAGAAGAAAGAAACTCATTTTTGGGTGAACTATCCCTTTAATGCTTTATAGCCACATTTAGCAGTTTAGAGCTGGGCGATAATATAGTTTATAGCTGATATTTTCTAAATAGCATATATCACTTTACGCAAGTATACTGTAAGTATGTGTATAAAGTTGGATAAACTAATTATCTGATTTTATACACATATCGTAAATGCCCAAGGAATGGTGCTGTATCCAAAAAACACAGGTTGGTTGATTAAGCCATTTGATAGTTTATTTTTTACTTCTAAAATATGCATATTGCTCAATTACTTTAATGTACTACTTTTTTATTTGTAGTGTTTTTAAAACTGTAGCATGACTAATTCAAATTATGAATAACTTTTCAGTTTCAATGTAATGTATATGGTTGCTAAGGTTTGCGGATTAGTTTTTACCACATTGTTATCCGGTTTCTTAGGTGCGCTGGATGCTAGGTGGCTGCTTTCAAGCAAAAAGTCAAAAGAGCCCACCCTCGAGTCACTAGATATGACTCAGGTCTCTCCTACAGTGTAACTCTATGCAGTTTTATCTGGTGTGTTTATCATCTGCCAGATTAAAATCTTTCCAGATGAAAGTCCGTTCTTGCCGTAAGGTGCTTATATAACTTGATGTGACCCTTAAAAATAACTATTATTGGTGTAACCTAACATAGTCAGGTTATTCAGTCATAAAATATTTTTGACTTTCATAAAACCAGTTAATTAGATGTTACCAGTATTTCTAGCATATGTAAGAACTTTTTTTGCAGTGAAAATAAGCCTGTTATCGGATATCATATTCCAATTCAGTTTACAACTGCAATAAAAGTCCAGCACATGAGAGAATTCATCCCATCATAAAAGCTAGGCGATTTCACAATTCATAAAAAAGTGTGTCGTAACCTCACAGTGTTACAGGGAGTTTATGGAAAGTGAGTGATGGGCTGGGAACAGCTTTGGTGAATGTTTTCACTCCAAGAGTCTGTTTAGCTCTCATTTTACCTCCCTCTTCCTTTCTTCCCCTCGGTCTCTATGGTTATCGCTTATTACATAACACTGTTTTGAAATCGTCTGGAGTGGTTCCACTTCCATCCTTTTCTTTATTCCTATTCTAATAGAAATGCATTGTGATTGTGAAGCACACATATAAAACCATTTCCTCTCAAGTAAAATGGCTTCTGTCTCTCTCTAGTATTCCTGTTTGCAGCAAACATTAAAAGTGAGTAATGCTCTGCAAATAATTTGTCCATGAATGCACACGTCACAAAGACACAGTCTGCCAACAGGCCGAGATTAGGCTGTTACCACCTGTTCCACACCTTTGTGTGCAAGCATGTACAATGAGAGAACGTGAACGGATTGTGGAATGGAGAATGTAGCGATCGAAGAGGTCAAAGTTCATTGTTTTGTTTCCTAACAACAAAACTGTCATTGCGCTGTATATAATGCTTATCATACATAAATTTTTGTTCTTAAACACAGTATGTTTCTATTGTCTTATGCCATTTTTTTTTTTAAAGACATCCTGTCATTTATTTAAACTCATGTTGTACTAAATCAAAGGGCTGTATGTGCCAAATTTCAAAAAGGAGATAAGAGCACTATAAAAGGATCTTAAAAGTGGTCCATACAACTTGTGGACTATATTAAAGTCATAATTTACTGACAATCTTCTGGGCAGTTCCACTAAAACTGGAACACTGAGTCAATAAGTTCAACTCATGAACCAAATCAAGTCGATTCATGAACAAATCATTTGTATTTTGTGAAATGGATCAACTGATTCATTGAATGAAACATGTGATCTGATTCTAAAGATCTGATTCAAGACAACAGATGAAAATGTTAGTGGAAAATCTGGTTTATCCAGGATGCCTTAAGTTTTTTTTCTCCAGAACACGAGTCACAAATGTGACCCTGGACCACAAAACCAGTCTTAAGTCGCTTGGATATATTTTTAGCAATAGCCAAAAAAAACATTGTATGGGTCAAAATTATCGATTTTTCTTTTAATCCAAAAATCATTAGGATATTAAGTAAAGATCATGTTCCATGAAAATATTTTGTACATTTCCTACCGTAAATATATCAAAACTTAATTTTTGATTAGTAATATGCATTGCTAAGAACTTAATTTGGACAACTTTAAAGGCGATTTTCTCAATATTTTTTTTTTTTTTTGCACCCTCAAGTTCCAGATTTTCAAATAGTTGTATCTCGGCCAAATATTGTCCTATCCTAACAAATTTATTTATTCAGCTTTTAGATGATGTATAAATCTCAATTTCGAAAAATTGACCCTTATGACTGGTTTTGTGGTCCAGGGTCACAAATATGCAAGGACAAAATCACTATATAATTACATTTGTCATAGGAACAAATACATATTTATTAATACAAATAATGGAAAATATAGTTTTGATATTTTGGCTGCTAAATTTTCACCTTTGGCAGGTGTGGCATTATTTTGGACTCCGTGTACATCTGCTAGACACAGATGTCATAGCTTTTAAAATTCCACAAGATCATCACAAGATTACTGATAATACCATAATCACATTATGTCACCATGAAGGCAGCCAGCGCTTTTTATCTCCAGACACACGAGAACAGCAATTTTCTGTCTTTTATACACCCTCCAACCCCTTTACATTACATTACACCCAGATGTCTTTCACTCCTCCACCGCTCCTGGGCCTCTTTTCCAGTCCTCTCTCGCTGATACATGTACTCTTTCTTGCATACATTCACCCCTCTTGCACCTACTCTCTCTAGCTCCGCCCTAACTTTAGAGCAGGGCTGTCCAAACTCGGTCCTGGAGGGCCGGTGTCCTGCAGAGTTTAGCTCCAACCCTAATTAAACACACCTGAACCAGCTAATCAAGCTCTTACTAGGCATAGAAACTTCCAGTCAGATGTTGAGGCAAGTTGGAGCTAAACTCTGCAGGACACCGGCCCTCCAGGACCGAGTTTGGACAGCCCTGCTTTAGAGTCTAGCCCCAAACAATGGATAGATCAAATTACCTCCTGATTCATTGCTCAACAGAGGCGTGGAAGTGGACGGTGGATTTTTATTGAACTTATCTGATGTCTTTAAAGGTGGAGTTTGTGATTTCTGCACTACTAACACTGCAATGGCATGGCTGAAAGAATAATGACTGTTTTCAGTCAGGTTTCCTGAACACTTCAGTCCATCTGCAATTGGTCAAATAAACAAATAGTCTGCCTCAAATACCACTGGTCATGCCCACGTTGCAGTGCTAGTTGAATGCTTTTAGCTTATATTGCTAACCATTATAAATTTAGATGTAATTAGGGCTGTGGGGACTTGATGACAAAAACATTTGGCTATATTATACAATTTTTTATTATACGATTTTTTTTATTATTAGATTTAATTTTTAAGAAATTAACTTATTCAGAAAGGATGCTCTAATTTTATCAAAAAACACTAAAATTATCCTGAACAAAATTATCACAGTTTGCTCAAAAATATTAAGCAGCACAACTGTTTTCACCATTGATAATAAAAATGTTTCTTATAAATATTAGAATGATTTCTGAAGGATCATGTGACACTGAAGACTGGAGTAATGGCTGCTGAAAATTGAGCTTTGCCATCACAAAAATAAATTACATGAAATAACTCTTAGAATTTGTTTAATATAAATTTAATAATTTATTTCACAATATTTACTGCAATTTTGATTGAATGCAGCCTTGTATGACTATGAGAGACTTTTTAAAAACATTTGTAAAAACATTTTACCATCTCGGACCCCAAACATTTGAATAAGAGTGTATAATATCTCTCAAGTCACTTTTATTTATATTTAGATTGTTTCAAAGCAATTTTGCAGTATTGTACTATATAGTACGGTGGCCGAGAAGTGCAAAGCAAATCACAATTCTGAAAACAAAATAAATTACAAATGCAAATGCAAGTCTAAAAAACAAAATAACAATTCAGAAAGCACAACAACAATTCAGAAAACATTATAACAAGTCAGAAAACACAATGACAAATTCGAAAACAAAATAACAAGTCAGATTTTGTTTTTTAGACTTGCATTTGCGTTTGTAATTTGTTATTTTGTTTTCAGAATTGTGATTTGTTTTGCACTTCTCGATAATATACTGCACAATATACTGACATGTAGCGCCGTTGCGCTTCAGGCGTCCCGAGTTCGAGTCCCAGCTTGTGGACCTTTCCCAATCCCGTCCCCCCTCTCTCACTCCCATTTTGCTTCCTGTCATTATACTATCATATCGAAATAAAGGCATAAAATGCCAAAAATAAATCTGTAAAAAAACATAAAAATAAAAAAGAATTATTATTATTATTATTATTAGAAGATGCATTATTTCATGTTAGTAGTATTGTTGACAAATGACCTTAAGCTCAAAAGTAAGAAACCTACATGCAAAATAAAACCTGCATCTAGTAAAACAAAGCATGTATTGTTCATTACTCTCTAAGAATCACGCAACATTTTGTTGTGATGGCTGAAAGGCAACAACTTTCTTTCCAAGCATTCTTTTAAATGTCCTGTGATTTTCTTACAGCCTATGTTTTGATATTCCCCTCCCTTCTTTCATAATCTACTGATGTCATGTTCACACCGGGTCCCTCTCCCAAAGAGCAAACATGCCGGACAATAGGAGAAAGTACAGTGGTACAATGAGTCAGGGTGAACTACAGGTCGGCAGCTGCGTGCGAGTGTGTATACATTCGCATGTGTGAGTGTGTGTGATGATTGCAGGTGCATCACTGGCACACTGCATTCAGTTCATGACTCACCCGATAGCTGTCACCATTAGCAACTGGATTAGCATCCAAAACAGAGGCAAATGCACTTTTGATATTTCAGTGGAGCCTCTGAATTGTACTGCAGAACTAATTTTGTGATCTGGGCCATCAAAGAAGCCAATGCACCTTACAATTTAAAGTGACCGTTCACTAGGAAAATTCAAACTGCAAATTTGTACTCACTCATTTTGTTTTAAACCTGTATGACTTTTTTTATTCTAAAAGAAATATGTTTTTAAGAATGTTCACACTGCTCTATTTTAAAGGGATAGTCCACCCAAAAATTACATTTCTCTCATCATTTATTCACCCTAGTGTCATTGCAAACCTCTATTGTTTATATTAAAGAAAGTATTCAGTAAAGGGATAGTCCAGTCAAAAATAAAAAATCTAACCCTCATGTCATTCCAAACACATATGACTTTCTTTCTTCCGTGGAATACAAAAGATATGAAGAATGTTGGTAGTCAAACAGTTTCAGGTTTTGCTTAGTTTCGTTTATATGAAAGTCAATGGGATCAAGATGTTTGGTCACCAACATTCTTTAAAATATCTTCTTGTGTGTTCCACAGAAAAAAGGAAGTCATAAAATTTTGGAAAGACATGAGGTTGAGTAAATAACAGAATTTTCATTTTTGGGTAGACTATATCCTTTTAAATACACATCTTTAATATAAACAATAGCGGGCAAAATAGTTTAGAAGAACCTTGTTTCTTTCATTTTCCTTGTGCCCTCTCACTTCCAAGATGTCTACCCGCCTCACCACCTTGTGTGCTGTCAGTCACCAAAGTGACTATAAACATGCCCTCCACCCCCTCCCGTTTGTCACCCCAATTCTATTTATCCCCTCTTCCTTTTCTTATTCGCTGTGAAGAAGGCCGCATGTATTCTCAGAGGGGGGTTCTGACTAACACAGAACTCTTTAGCATGCTGAATAGCTCTTACTAATGACTAGATCTCTGTTTGCCGAAGTTAAGAGGTTTCCTGTTATGGCAGACTTTGATCAACTCAAGATTAACCGATGAAAAGCACTTCAAGTTATCAAATATATACAGTAGATCATATTTACATAATCTGAAAAATCATTGTAAAATCATTAGACCAAGGAACTCTATAAGGTCAAAAGATCAAAAGCAATGACACTTGAATGCAGGGAATGACCTCGCTTCAAAAGCTTCTTTGTAAGAAATCAATGCATTTGCAATCAGATCAACTGTTCCTGACAATCTCGGGTCTGATGGTTAGGTCAGCAAAATGAAATGGAACTGATTTAAAGTTAGAGAGTTCCTATAAGCATTCCCATCATATTTGCAGCACGAAATAATGAGAGATTCCTTGTTGACGACACACTGACTTCTATGGCACTTCCCCCCACGTAATGACGCAGTTAACAACAACAACTGTGCCGTTAACACACTTCAGACTCAGGCCACACACATTCACTGGGATCGCTGACCTCTCTTTAATGTTTTCCTATTTTGTTATTGCCATATATGCCATTTCATTGCTATTTATAGGTCAGTATCAGTATTTTTTTATTTATTAAAAATAAATAATAATAATAATAATAGTAAACTGTAAAAATAAATAAGTTTAATAAATACAAATATTTAAATTAATTATTACAATATAAATAACATTTATCTAAAAATAATTTAGTATTTTTATAGGCTATATATGAATACTCATTTAAGATTCCTATGTATTATTTAATGCTATATAAACGGACCCATGTTTGTCTCTTTGATGTTATACATGGGTCAAAGATGAAAAAGGGAATGAGCACTGTGAGGTAACATTCTTGAGCATTTACATCCCTATCTTTAGTTCATGAAAATTCATGGACATAGTATACTGTTCAGGAACATTCAAACTCGCTGTCCTCTTGATAGTGATGATAAAGGAGCATAGAAATATGGACATGCACCAGATATGCAATTTGGCACACGGTTCAAGTAAAGTCTCATTTATTTATGGAGTGCTTTATTGCTTCAAAGCTGCTACACTGGAAAAACAGCATAAGTGTACCAGAGTTTGGCATTCTCAGGAATCTGAATTTTAATTATAATAATAACTTCAGTTTCAGCTATAAAGCAGCTTTGCACCATGTTCATGTTTTTACTCATATCTGACATTGGTGGACTGAACTAAAGAAATTATCCAGAAAAGATCTTCACATTACAAAAAGTGGAGGCCTAATGCACAACCACCTATTATTTGTTCTTTATAGACCAATAACAGTTTATAGGTGTTTAACAGCCAGTGCAAAGTTTTCTGGAAGTTGCAAAGTTTTGAACCACCAAAACAAACTCTAAATAACCTTTATTTTTGCCAGATTTAGTCCAAAGTTCGTTCTTTGATTTTGCTTGACGTATATTGGAGCCTTTAGACAGACTGTGGGAGCACTGATCAGTGGTTTTAAAAAACGTATGTTTGGTATGCAGTTTGTGGTATACTGAATAATTCTCAAAATTATAATTATTATCAGTTTATTCTTTCTATATGTATATATATTTCTTGTGATATTTTGCATAATTATCACTATCCATTTTCTTAGGTTTTTTTCTGATTCACATGTGTTTCTCCTTTAAAGGATTATTTACAGATTTATATTAGATTTCTATAATTATTATAACTACTGTGTTAATATAACATGTTACAACTATTTTGGGATTTATCATAAGAGTTATTGCTTCAAATTAATGTTATATTATTAAAACTGGAGATGGATGGGTCAAAGACGAAAAAGGGTTTAAGCATAAAAACAGTAAGTGTAATACTGCTTTAAATTGTTGTTGTTTTTCGAAAAAAATTTTTTAAAAGTTTTCTTATTTTAATATGTACAAGTCAGAATAAGTATGTTGTTTGAATTTTTACATAAATATTGTGTTACACTGGATGACAATGTAACATTATTTCAACCAAATTTTAACAGTAGACTGTTAACCTTAAAACCTTAAAAGTAGACACTTTACTTACATTTAATGTGCTTTCTATGGACATAAAATCACTTTTGTAAATTTATTTTGATGCCGACATCTTAACGTCTTTGACCCACATTCATCTGTCACTTTCCCCATCTCCACCGCAAAAAGATCCTGATCCTACTTAGTATGATCTTTTCTGTGTCAGTTTCACCCCTAACCTCTGCGTTCCCTGGTTCTATCCTCCTTGCTCATTCTCTCTCCATGAAGTCATGTTTTTAAACACAACTCTATAGGTAAGAAAACCAGCAGGCCCTCACAAAGGTCTCAGGTAGCACAGGGGCCCCTGGAGATTACAGATATAGGGCCAGACACAAAGAGCTTTCTCTCGCACACTCAATTACACATTCTCAACATCCAAATAGCATTTCCTGCCCTTAATCCTTTTCTTTACTCTTAACTGCTGTCTTTGTTTACAGCATGAATACAGAACCGGTAACGCGAACACGCACAATTAAGTATTTAACAACATAAGGGATGATTAAACATTTTAACATTTTGAATTTTTTAAAGACTCTTTAAAAAAAAAAAACACTGTATAATGCAGGAAATGTACATTTTCTTGTCCGTTTAATGACCTTAGAAAGTCGTTGAACAAGTAATGGCAACTTGCTAAAAGACTTAACGGTGTTAGATAGGCCTAACATCTTTCTTTTTCTTTTCATTTTTTTTTTCATATCCCATACAGTCTCAATGTGTGTTCCCACTTAATAAAAACAGTGTGTAATAACTTTTAGTAACTTACCTGTCCGCTGTGATGTTCTGTTTATATTCGATCCTAACGTCTTTCTGTCAATTTCATCCAGACAGACGCTCCTCGAGGTTTACTTTGTCTTCAAAAACATTAAAAATCCTCTTGGTGTGTTCGTCTTATCTGAGCGGCGTAGACCAGATGGTTTCCGAGACGTTTTCACTCATGACATTACCGGACAAACTCCGGTAAAGTACATCTTCATGCGCTCGTTCTCCGGGAATTACTGCTCTCGCTCTCGCGGCCTCTGCTCTGACCGGCGCCGTCGCCACGCCCACATTGCTGACGACCCCACAGGCCCAGGTGTTCTTCTGTGGGACTGCATTTATGGCCATATCATTTAGACAACACACTCCACTTGTGTTTAAGACAGTGAAGGAAAATTAGTTCTTGCTACTGGGGTTAATAAAGAATATCTATCTAATAATTGGTCAGTAATCGTTTGACCAATTAATTTCCCTGACTTTTTCAAAAAATTGTGAAGAGCTACATAAGCTTATTATTGTTGTTGTTGTGGTTTTGTCAGCTTATTAATTGATTTTCCTGCTCTGGACATCACACTTTTGAAATTCCCTGACATTTCCAGGCTTTCCATGATGATTGTAAACCAAAATGTGATGTGTTAAAATAAAATGTATCAGACATATTAAAGGACAAACTGCTTTTAATTTACACCAAGCAGTATCAAACAAACCAAGGACACACATTAAACTAACAAATTGTATAGGAAAAACCGCATGCACTAAATTGCTTATTTTTTTCAGAACTAAGACAATAGTATCAAATTATATAAAAAAACAAATACACACCAAATCATTGTTCACAAATACACAGATGAGACACAAATACTGCATAAGAAAACTCGATACAAAGACTCGTTCAGAAGAAATCTCACTCACTAATCTGACATGCTGCATTTAAAAACATAAATAAACGTAAAAAACCAACAACAAAAAATGGCACTGATACAAACAGTGGTCTGCTGACATATTTGATACATTAAATTGAGATATTAGGCCTACATAATATTACAGGAATTACAACCCTCAGGCAAATGTTACATAACAGAAGACACAGCAACATTCTTGCAAGTCAGGTATGGTATACAAAATATATCATGACTACAATATATAATATTAATTTGTGCGATATTCACATTACAAGTTCTATAGGCAAGAGTGTAAGAGGGTAAAATGTTGTAATGTCTGGATAATGGAAGACTTCTCAAACTAAACAGTGATTTTAAATCTACAAGGAAGACCAGTATCCTTTGAAAAAGACTGGTTTAACTTAATATAGTTTCTTGAGACAACAATTAGTGTCTAGAATAATTCAAGCAGCATTTCATAAAGCTCAACACTGCATGACACCATTCAAGTACATTTAAAGTGGCTCTTCACATGAAATCTCTGTTGATTACACTCGATGAGGAAAGTCAATAAGTTGTAAAACTGTTAACTGCTTTACATGTCAAACATGATTTATAACAGCCATATATATCTGTCATAAATGAATACCACTGTTGTTCAGAGACGACCGTAATGAAAATGCCTACTAGATATTAAATTTGCACTCTTAATATTTCAACTATTATTCAGCGATACAGAGAAAAAGGCAACTGGTTCAGTCTCACTATATCAATAAAGGGAATAAGGTTTGGCCTCTGGTAGTCTAATTCAGGACAGAACATGTATTGGTCTAGATCAGGGGTAGGCAAGTTCGGTCCTAGAGAGCCGCAGTCCTGCAGAGTTCAGCTCCAACCCTGAAAAAAAACTCACCTGCCTATAGCCTTAGTAATCCTGAAGACATTGATTAGCTTGTTCAGGTGTGTTTGATTAGGGTTGGAGCTGAACGCTGCAGGACTGCGGCTCTCTAGGACCGAACTTGCCTACCCCTGGTCTAGATCATGTTTTTGAGAAAATATATATTTTAAGGCACTCAGCCCAAAAGTCCTCCCTTATAATTTGGTTTGCTTGTTTTTCTTGAAGTACATTAAACTATGACCCCGTTTACACCTGGTTTTAAGATCTGTTTTGGCTGTTTTAATTACAAGTTGTCAGTACTGAATGGGGTTCAAAATGTTTCATGATCGGTTCACTCAAACCACATTCAGTAGTCAGAAATGCATGTGACCGTGTTGCATTTGTAGTGTAATGTTTATTTTAAATTTGAACATTTTTAACTGACAAAGTGATGTATATTGTCAGAGACCTTCCTTTGAACTCCTATTACAAGCTGCTAAAATGTATTTGAGCTAGATGTTAGTACCGAGTATAAATGAGGCTTTATTAGAATAAAATATTTAAACATTACCGTTCAAAAACTTTGGGATTGGTAAAATGTTTTAATCTCTCTAATCTTTCAGCATCAATTACTCCAGTCTTCAGTGCATGATCCTTCAGAAAACATTCTAATATGCTGATTTGTTGCTCATTAAACATCAATATTGAAAACAGTTGTGTACTGTTTTTGTAGAAAGAATAGCATTTATTTGAAATGGATTTTTTTGTAACAATATAACTGTGTTTACTATCACTTTTGATCAGTCTAACGCATCCTTGCTGAATGAAAGTATTCATTCCCAAACTTTTGAACAGTAGTGTATATATAGCATGTATATATCCCACTGAAATAAATCTGAAAAAAAAAAAAAACTTAATGTTGTAGGAACATCCTTCAAGACACCTGACCCTCCTGTCAACAGCACTTCAGGTAGAAGCATCACACTCATTCTATCAGAGGTAGAACTCTATGAACACGCTTGCATATTAGCATAGAAAACCACAATGATCTCTTGGCCCCATCCCTCTTTCAGATGTGGTCATCCACTGTAACTGGATAAGCAGCTGGTGGTTTGGGCAATTGCATGCACTGAGGTTCAAGGCCTTTGGCTAGGGAAAGAAATCCTGTGGATTGCGGCTTGTTTCTGCCCCTGTTGGCAGTACAAAGTACTGCAGGTTGAATGAGCACTGCTGCTTCATTACAGGGAGATGCTTGTGGTTTGTGACTCCCTCTACCAATAAGATTTATGAACTGCTACTAAGACGTCTGCGTAAGAGAGAGGCAGGTTTTGTGCCGGTGTCCTCCTGATCGCTCTCACAGTCTCTCTGATTGGGAAAAAAAGGGAAAGTAAAGAAATATTGCATTATTTATAACAATTAAGCACCTTTACCATGTACTTCTCATTATGTGTTTTTCAAGAGATTCTTACCAGTTCTTGTTGCTCCGGACCGCGGGCCTTACACAGTAACTGCAGTCGACAAAACCGATTACAAGCTGAAACCATGTTAAAGGACATCTGTGTGGTGAGAAAAACAACTAGTTAGGAATTAGTTAAGAAATATTACAGCCTATCTGTACAAAATATTCATCACAATCCAGACAGAAAAAGAGCAACAAAAGGGCATCATGACAGAGTTACATAATGACTCAGTGTTTCTACTGAACAGCAGGTGTCTCTCTTTACTCATAGGTCTGTTAGTTTAGAGAAGTGAGTCATTTGAGTCAGCTAAGGTAGTGTTAGCAACCGATTCAGACACTTAAAGGAACAGTTTAGTCATTTGTGTTGCTTTTTTTTAGAGTCCTGTGTCACAACTGGGAAACATGAAAAAAAAAATCTATGTTCAAATTCTTGCAAAGGAATAAATAACAGATTTTTGGGTGAACTATCCCTCTAAGAGACAGTGAAGAGCTTGTATCATCACATTATATCAAAACAGCTGCCGATTAAATGTAAAAAGGCACTGAATGCAGAAATGAGAGGCCGATATGACAAAAACAGCAAAACTAGATGTTCATTAATACTACAGGAGGGACAGAGAATGACTGAGGGAGACAAAAAGACATAAAAGACAAAGTATGCAGTGAGACACACAGGTAGTGACAGAAAAAGTTGGTCTGTGGGTAACGACAGTCTACACACTCCAGCCAATAGCAGGTTTCTCTGACCAACCTTCCATTTCCTCCTCGCGTTGAACTTCTTAAAGTTCTTCATGTTGATGGAGGAGCGGTTCCTCTTGGCTATTTGAGTTCTATTGAGAGGCTAAAAGAGAAATGGATGCGGAAAACAGTTACTGAAATGATCAAGGTAAAATGAAAAATAATTACGTCATAAAATGTAATATGAGGAAACGGGTGAGTTCACGCATCTCACCTTAATCCAGGGGTGAACGAGACACTCTTCTGCTGTCATTCTTTCACTAAATACAAACACACAAAAGCAGTATAAAAATATTTAACCCTTATAAATTATTAATTAGGCAAAAGTTAGATTAGACAGTTAAAGATCAAATTAAAATAGCAGCTTGAATCTGAAATACAGTTTATATTATTCCCTCAAAGCAGAGCAATCGGAGAATCTTTCAGTCTTTGAAGAAAATATATTTTTAAAAAGTGTATTAATACATTAAAATGTATAAACAAAATAATGAATAAATATTCTTTTTAAATGTTTTGGGAAACTTTCACCTACTCAAAACCAATTTATAATCCCAATTATTCTAATATAATTCATCTGATTATTGCTACCTCTGGTCTTTAACTAGTAGTTTCTGGATGAAATCTTTAGCCATGTTGCTGGTTTGGCTGAAGTAGTGAGGCTCAAACTCATAGTTCATTGCCACGATGTTCCTCAGCGTCTCTTCATCCGTCTCGCCTTGGAACGGTGACAGACCGCTCAAACTGATAGCATAAATATACATGAATAAGAAATAATATAAAAAAATAAAATACAAGAGTTTCTACATATATTTTTACTGCAATATCTCTTCACAGTAGTCTAGGATACAAAAAAATATGTTAACATTTAAAAAATATGCACACCACCATTAAGATTAACTGCTTTATCCCTGCGTGAAGATAAAGGCTATTACTAGTCAGTCTGTTGGTTATCTACTCCATATCTGGTGTACTTCATTTCTGACATGACTGATCTCATCCCACAGGACCTGACTTATATAAACCTGAAAAAGCACATTGCTTGTCAAACGGGGAGGCTTTATTTCAGAGGTAATTTAAGTCCTAGTTAAAATCTGAATATTTGGAGCAGCACTTTGGGTTGCAGACTGATTCTTAAAGGATTTGACTGTCAGGAGTGTTATCATATGATTAATAACAATGGAAGATTACTTACAGAATGTAGGTAATGACGCCAATGCTCCTGAAAAACATCACAAGAACATGATTAATCATCATTAAGTGAATCTTAAAACTGGTATATAGAATTCTAAGCAATTTAACATGCAAAAAAAAATAAATTACAAACTACTGTAAACTATTTT